AGAAATATGAAATTCCACCAAGTGTAGTGTGACGATATAATGCGATTCCCACAAAAGTGCTCGAGGACATCGGTACTTTTATTTGACTGATGATTTACTACAATCGTTCTTTCTTTCAAACTATCCTTTTTTGATCTCCTACACTTCATCGTATAAATTAAACCTCAACAATAACGGCTGTGGACAACACTTTTGAACGTGTTCCATTTACGGCTTTTTCTCATGCTAATTAATTCAAACAAAGGTTAGGTTATAAATCAAAACGTATGTTCTTGCATCCGAATCAACCAAAAAGCAAGAACCGACTGATAACTTGAATACTTTGTGTGCTTCTTAAGAAAATCATATTCGTAAACTGTTCTGTCATTGTTATAGGAAGAAATCATCGATACTCGTTGACAGGGTACTCAAAGGCAATTCACTTACCTATTTGGAATTTATATTTGTTACCGCCAGAAACGCACTATCGATAAAAAATAAGTTTCGTCAAAAAATCAAAAATGAATTCGACAATATGCGCAGATAAACGTACAAATTCGTAATAATGTCAGCAGAAATTGTCCTTTTCGGGCAATATTTCGCGATGGTTTGCAGTTAATAGTGAACTTAAAAATAAAGGCAGTTAAAAAACTCTAACAATGCAAATGGAGGCAGAGTTCAACGGGCCTCCATTTTCACAAAGCGTATAAGAGAAAAAATTTGCTTAGCAAGATAAGACAGAGTAGTGGAGTAGAAATTGGAGGAGGAATTCTGATGATGGTTAGTAGCTAACGAAACGGCAGTAGTTTAGACTGAGTACGTCCAGGTGGCTTCGTTTGATTGAGCGGTGTTTAACTGAGACATCTATGCTCCCGAGGGACATGAGCCAGAGAAAAATATTGCCAAGAGGCTCTCATAAATTCCCTATGGTCCTTTCTCGCAGTCATGCGAAAGATACTGATACAAGTACTCGTGGCTATTCTTACGACCTACTTGTACGGAAAAACCAATATTATTGACCGCGTTGTTTTAACTACGCCACGTTCCCATTTAAGATGCAACTCTATTTGAGTTTTTACGAAGGTTACA